GTTAACTGTTATAGAGCAGTTGATAAAGAGAGGAATAAAGGAGCTTAGGCGTGATAATACAAGATGAAGAAGGCAGAATTATGGGAGCTCTCAGTGATAACCTACCATGGGTAACAAATTCTTTTACTGCTGAAGCCGTTGCAGCTATCTGAGCATTGAAGTTTGCCAATAGTTTTAATGAAATTTTGTTAGAAGGAGATGAATTAACAGTCATAAAAAAGCTATAAACAAGGAATCAATATATGTCTCCCATTGGTCTAATTATAGAAGAAGCCAGAATTAAACTTACAGAATTCAAATCATGCATGGTACATCATATCAAACACTCTGAGAATGAAGCAGCTCATAGATTAGCAAAGCATGGATTAAGGATTAATGGAGGAATTCATCGGGTTGAAGATTGCCCTGATTTTCTATAATTAATTGTTGCTACTGATGCCACTCAAGTTTATGAATGAATGATAAAGAAAATTTAATTCAAAAAAAAAAGGAGAGAAAGAAACCACTCGTAACGTATGCATTGTGGAGTAGATGTTAGGATTGACGTCACTTCTTATTATTAAATTATAATAAAATATTTAATATGATTCTAAATTTTAAAAATTTTTAATGTAATAAATGAATTATAAATTTTTTAATTAATGTAATTAGCTTTAAGTGATAACACATGACTAATAAACAACATTCAGAGTATCATATTAATTAATAAATATATAGTTTAAGTACATTAGAGGTTTTTAAAATTTAAAAATTATATTCAACATTTTACTATAATTTAATGACAACTCTATATTTTATTTAGACCCTAAAGTATTATTAGGAAACGAAGTTGGATGTTGGTAACGAAATTGTATTAATCAAAAAAAGAAATTCTTCAATATTGGAATAAAGGTATATTATATGCATACAAGATGGTCATGGTCAAAACTCAGGATAAACAATCATTTATTAACGTAGCTTAGGTAAAGTATGCTTACAAGAGAGAGTAGAAAGCTATACCTACTAAAAATTAGCATCATTTTTTTAATACATAAAAGTTTAGGATAGAAAAAAGGTTATTTCATTTTAATGTCAAGATATATTGTAACTTCTTTTTTTCGAAGATTTACATTAAATTTATGAATAATTTATTAATGTTAGTAATAGTGAAAATAGAATTTAACTTGTGATAATGAAGTGCTCAATCCTTGTTAATGGAGTCAACTCAATTAAAAAAAAAAAGTAGTATAGTTGAAGGTGTTGGTAATTTATAATGTGATGCATCATAAATTAGACAGAAAATTTTAATTATTGGTGAATAGACTTAATTTTTGTATTAATTTTATTTATATTTTAAAAAATTATGTTTGAATAAAAATAATTATTAAATAATAAATAGTCATAACTATTTGAATATACATAGATGATTGTTCATATAAATCAAGATTATACAAATGATCATAACCATTTGAATAGAAATTTATGTCTGTTCATTTATTATAATATATTTTTCAGTATAATCATTTTTACTGCTTCTTTTTAAAAAGTTTTGAAGTTTTTTGTATCTTAAGGGCATAATTATCTTTAAAAAAGTATTCTTTACGTTTCAAAACCAAAATTATTTTCTATTATTTCTAATTCCTTATTTATTTTTCTAACAATTTAAAAGTAATTATATGAAATTCATATTTTCCATGAGGGAGATAAAAGGACAAGAAATTGGCAAATTTGACAAAATTGACTTTTGAAACATGCATGGATGCAACTTCAATTATCCAAATAGTTTCTTAATGAAATAAATACTAAGCACAAGATAAGTTTTTTGTTACTATTTTTTTAGTTTTTATATTCTACTAAAAAAATTGATGATTATACTTTATAAGAGACATTGAGTCTTATAGAATTTTGCTTCTTATTGACTATTCTTTTTAATTTTTTATTATGAATTAAATTATTTCATTTATTTTTCATAATTTTATGGTACGCCACATATGGATTTTCTTGAGTAAGGTATTGAATAGTTATGAGAATAAAATGGACAAGAAGTACTTGCTAGCTTTGGTTATGAATCTTTTATGGCCTTGTTATACTTTGGTAAGATCATAGTTATCAAATCAAAATGATAAATTTTCGAGAATTATTTTAAGATATAAAAGAAATTGTGAATTTATAAATCTTTTCAAAAAATAAACAAGTATATGTCTCCTTATCATAAAATCATATTTTATGATCCATATTCCATGATTGCATTTTATTAGCAAGAGAATAATGTATGATTTATATTATTTAATTTATATAATATTGTTTCAATAAGAAATAAACATACTATCTAAGATAACTTCTATTCAATAGGAGAAGCTATATAATTATTTGTAACTAGTTAAAATGTTTTCTATTTGTTAGGTGAAAAATTTCACCTATTTTATAATTTGGACATAAACTTTATAATATTGTGTGGTTATACATGAAATTATATATCATTGCTCTTAATGACATAAACTGTGGTGGATACAGCTTTGGTATCCATGATAAAATAATTTTATAAGTATCCAAGAGTTGGCATGAAAATCTCAAAAGGAGATTATAAAAAGCATGAGTTTACTAAAATTTTTTTTTTCAAGGTGATTATATTTTGCATCACACTTGTTTATGCAGAGTCTCATATTCAATTGAAAATTTTTTTTTGGAACTTTTATGAAAAAAAATTAATATATAGAATATTTACTAGTTATCTTTCACTAAGGGTGGATTTAGAAACCTCTTATTATAAAAAGAAAAAACAAACACCAAATAGTGAAAAGATAAATAAAAAAGAAATTGATTAAAATATATATCTTGATAATTGAATAGAATATTATTCGATTAAAAAAATGCATATTTACACATGGTGAGGGTGATAGTTTCTTATAAATGTTAAATAAAAGAAATGAAAATTGACATCATAGTATTGTAAGATTTGAATATAATTTTACTGTGTAAATTATATAAGATAATAAATTTAGTATAACTTAATGAAAAATCATTAAAAAGGTCCCTAAATAACTTAAAAGGACTAAAATGTTTGGTCTATTATTCAACTTATCTAATTATACTAAAAGAATAATTGTAATAAAGATGTATAAAAGTGTAGAAATAGAATGATTGAAAATTTAATATTAATAAGTAGAGTTGTAGTCATATCCAATACCAACTATTTCTTAAAATGACAAGAATGAGGTAACAATATTTATAGCATATAAATTATATGTAAAATAAAAATTTTGGATATATTAGCCTATAAAGTGATTGTATTAGAGATTTAATATTGAGTGAGAGTAATTACTGTAAAAGAAAATTCAATATCAAGATATTTGGTTAGTAATACTATTAGTAGAATGGATTTAAGCCCTTATTATTAGACACTTATAATGGGAACCTAACTTTACATTAGTAACCTCTAATTATAAAATGTAATTGGTAAAAATAAATTATTGTTATGTATCTGTTAAGTATTAGTAAAACCTATTCAAATTTTAAAAATTAATGTGATCCATTGTATGGGGAGAATGAGTTTCTATACTCTTAATAGAGTTTATTATTTAAATGTCTAAAGCAATGGAGAAATTATAAAAACTCTACCTATATAAACATAAAAGTGATACATTTTTAGCAAGAAAAATTGGGGTATCTCTTATAAATATTTATTAATAGGGTAAGCACACAGTCATAATAGTACTAAAGCGATTATAAACTTCTGAAAAAAGATTTAGTAAGTATTGTGTGTGTTATATCTTTAATTTTAACATTAGAATTTGAGTTTCACCGTCAACTTTGTTAGAATTTTAAGATAGATGTACTAATTAAATGTTTAAATCGAGATATATCTTTTTGTGTTAATATTATTTATTTATGTGAAAGGTTAAAGATTAAGCATTAATATTCCAAACTAGTTAGAGATTGTTGGTAATTTAGAATGTAGTACATTCATATTGGATAGAAAGACTTAATTATTGGAGAACAAGCTTAATTTTTATATTAATTTTGTTTATATTCTGAATAATTATATTTGAATAGAAACAATTATTATATGATAAATAATTATAACTATTTGAATACAAATAGATGATTATTCGTATAAGTCATGATTGTACAAATTATTATAAACATTTAAATAAAAATTTATATATGTTTATTCATTATAAATAGATATTTCAATATAATTATTTTTATTACTTTTATTTAGAGAGTTTTAAGATTTTGTTATATTTTAGAGACATAATTGACTTTAGAAAATGTTGAAGTCTCAAACTAAAATTATTTTTTGTTATCTCTATTTTCTTATTTATTTTTTTACCGGAAAGTTCAATCATAACGCTTTAATTTGTCATGAAAGATTAATCCAAATCCAATGGATGAGTTTTTTTGGTGGTGTATATATATATAGCACATTTGCTAGTTTTCCGCGTAAATCTTTTTTCCATTCCTGCCTGCCATATCTACAGGGAGATCCGGAGACAAAGATTAGAAGACTCCAACTATTATATAGTGAAATAGTGCAATCCCCTTTTAGGGGCAAAGTATGAGAAGCAAATGCTATAATTAACTGTTTAAGAGAAAAAAGTAAAACAAGATGCAATCATTCTCTATATTTGAAATGCCTAAATAAAATATAAGAGTTTAAAGCAGATGAAACTTTGCATCCAACTGCAAGTCTCCAATTCCAATTTGCAAACATGGGAGAGCAGACCAGATGGACCATTTCTTGTCGGCTGACTCCCGTTCTCTTTCCATAATTGTAATGAGAAGTTTCCCTCACAATCCTGCCGCTTGCAAATATAACAATTTCTTTCGCACTTTTCAACTACATAACAAAAACGAATTCTTTTTCTTTTTTCTTTTAAAAAAATAAAAAAAGGAAAACCCACAAAAGATAAGGTAATTCAATCAATTATCGTTAATAACTATGATATTCCATTGAAAGTATCTCGTCATCTTTGACCGCTGAAACGCGTTGTGCAACATTTTGAGCACAAGGTAGAAGTAACCACCTCATGCTCCTGGCGGTCTGGCGCCCTGCTGCTTTTGTTTATTAGTGTTTGTTTGTTCAAGTGTCAAAAATCAAAACCCAGCTGTCTCAAACTAAAGCTAAGCCTAAAGCATACAACTTTTTACATGTCAATAAGCCTTCATCTTCTTCTCCCTTCCCCGTATCATCTTCTTTGATCTCTCTTTATATATCTCTCTCTCATGTCTCCTCGGATTCTAGTTTTGCTGGTTTTAACTGCAATAACCTTACTTTTGCTCTTTGCTTCAGTTTCATCTGTTGAATTCGTTTACAATACCAACTTCAACTCCGCAAATCTCGTCACTTTTGGCGATGCTGCAATAGATTCTTCAATTCTCTCCATCACAAATGATTCAACTTTTTCTGTTGGACGTGCCCTGTACCCTTTGAAGATCCCTGTGAAATCATCAAATTCATCAGAGGTACTTACTTTCTCCACATCTTTCATTTTCTCCATTGCCCCTCTCAAGGGCCTTCTCCCAGGTCATGGATTTGCCTTTGCCTTCTTGCCTTCTGCTGGTATAGCTGGTGCCAGCTCATCTCAGCATCTGGGTCTTTTCAACTTTACCAGCAATGGTAATCCCAATAGTCATATCTTCGGTGTTGAGTTTGATGTTTTTTCAAACCAAGAATTTGATGATGTCAATGACAATCATGTCGGTGTGGATGTAAACTCCCTGAAATCTGTTGTTTCCAATCCAGCAGGGTTTTGGGGAGAGAGTAAAGATGATAACTTTAAGGAGTTGAAGCTTAATAATGGTGTGAATTATCAAGTTTGGATTGATTATGAAGATTCTATTATTAATGTTACTATGGCTAAAGTGGGGGATAAAAGGCCTCGGAGGCCATTTATAAGTGAGTTTGTGAATCTTTCTGATGTTTTTCTTGATGAAATGCATGTGGGATTTTCTGGAGCAACAGGGCAGTTGGTCGAGAGTCATATGATTCTCGCTTGGAGCTTTAGTAATTCGAATTTTTCAATAGGTGATGCTTTAATTACAACTAATTTGCCTTCTTTTGTGCCACCAGAGAATTCAGTGTTTCAATCAATAGGATTCATTATTGGAGTTACAGTTGGGGCTGTTCTGCTTGTTAGCTTCTGCATTGGGACGTGTTTTCTTTTGGTTACACATAGAAGGAAAAGAAGTACCAAGAAAGAAGAGGTTGAACATTGGGAATTGGAGTATTGGCCTCACAGGATTGGCTATCAAGAGATCTCCGCTGCAACAAAGGCATTTTCAGATGAAAATGTGATTGGTTCTGGAGCTAATGGGAATGTCTATAAAGGAGTACTAACGGGAGGACTAGAAGTTGCGGTGAAGAAAATTTCTCATGAAAGTAAGCACGCGATGAGAGAGTTTTTGGCTGAGGTTTCAAGTCTTGGGAGATTGAAGCACAGGAATTTGGTAGGATTGATAGGTTGGTGTAGGAACGACAAAGGAAGCTTGATACTGGTTTATGATTACATGCAGAATGGGAGCGTGGATAAGAGAATTTTTTACTGTGATGAGCACTTAATGTTGAGTTGGGATGAGAGGATTAAAGTCTTGAAAGATGTAGCTTCTGGTATCTGGTATTTGCATGAGGGTTCGGAAGCTAAGGTCTTGCATAGGGACATTAAGGCAAGTAATGTCTTACTTGACAAGGATATGAATGCCAGATTAGGCGACTTTGGATTAGCACGTATGCATCATCATGGTGAATTGGCTAGCACTACAAGAGTGGTTGGCACCGTAGGATACATGGCGCCAGAAGTGATTAGAACTGGGCGTGCCTCCACTCAAACAGATGTGTTTTGTTTCGGGGTGTTGATTCTTGAGATAGTATGTGGACGAAGGCCAATTGAAGAAGGGAAGCCAGCTTTAATTGATTGGGCATGGGGGTTAATGGAGAGACAAGAACTGATTTTTGCTCTAGATGATCGGTTAAAAGCTGAGGGTGGTTACACTAATGAGGAAGTGGAGAGGATGCTACGTCTGGGATTGTTGTGTGCGCATCCAGAACCTCATGCTAGACCAACAATGAGGCAGGTAATGAAGCTGTTAGAGGAGGGTGCTGAACACAAAGGAGAAGGCGTGGAACTAAATTTACTAGACAGAATGAGGACGACACCAACAACAATGTGGAGGAACTTCAGCACCAGAGGACATCCTACTTTCAATGAAATTCAGAGGAATCTTTCTTCTTCCATGTCTATGAGTAACTCAGACATCATCCTAGAAGGCCGATAACAACGTACGTGTTGGTTCCGATTTTCTTTTGGATCAGTGAAGTGTGCTCTATGTTTTCCATTGACGTTTGTTAAGACCTAATCATTCGTGTAAATTATTATAGAATGAAAATTTTTTAAGAAGTTGGGAATCTGTGCATATTTTAGTTCGATGATCAAAGATCAGATAGTAGGAGAGTTGGAATATGTAACTTGAGTTGCTCTGAATCTTGTAATTTCTGTTTATTCCCTTAAAAAGCTGTACCTTTTGAATCTCTGCTGATTGAAGTGTGATATTCCAATTGCCATCATTTTTTATCTTCCCTCTTTCATTTTGTTCAGCTTCTTCGGTTGTTAATCAACACATTTATTAGCAGGAGATTTATTCACAAAAAATAATCTGCTGCAACAAGTCAAGTTCTATATAAGAAGTAGGTTAGCTTGGGAGACTCATGTTGTAAATATTTTGTCCTTGCTTTGCATGTTACAAGTTCCAGAAAGAAAAATGGAGAGGAGGAATCAAAAAAGGCGTACGTGCAAATTTTGGCCTACTGGATATTATCCAATAAAATTGAGCAATACATTTTTTTTAAACAATTAGCACCAGTGGTCTAGTGGTAGAATAGTACCCTGCCACGGTACAGACCCGGGTTCGATTCCCGGCTGGTGCATGCTAAATTTGTTTTCCATTTTGGCGGGCGCATCTTTGATTACGAATGTGCCCAAGGTCCATTATGTGATTCCAACAATGGGCTTGTGCCAGTCCGTCAAAACTGGGTAAATGATTCCTTGATGAATCAGACCATTTTGGCAGCTCCAAAGTCCAAAGCCGCTTGTCTTTCATCACATTTTTTTTCTTTTATAATAAAGGCTATTGTCACTCTATCTATTCTATCTGGACTCGCACCTAATTTAGCACCAAAGACAGGATCTTAAATGTAGAATTCTACGGGAAATATATGCACTTTTCACCTGGCAGATAATCAATATAATATATTCTTAATTTCTCAATGAGATAATAATAATAATAATAATTAAAGTTGCTGAATTCTTTATACTGAATCAAAGGCAGGCAATAACACAGGTTAAGCGCCTATAAAACCCAATCCTCTAGAAAAAGGCAAACACCCAATGGAGAAGAATGTAGTTGTGCTGTTGTGTTTCCATATTACCTGTCTATTCATGGGGGGCTAAAATTTATAAGAATGGATCAATTGGGTTCCAGCAGGACTTTATTCACTCATCTCTATTTTCAGATTATCTATTAGGCTTCAATATTTATCATTGTCAGAAAAAATTTTGGATTTTTTTAATGTAGTACATAATATCATTGTGAAACCATTTGTGTTTTATATACGTTGATATGTTTAAATACAAATAAAATATAAAAAATATATTTAAATAAAATATATTATATAAAAAAAATTTAATAAGTGACATGATATAAAAATACATTTAATAAATTTTTTTATATTTATTTTAATAAATATAAACATATAAAGATCATTTTAATTTTTAATTTTTTAATTATAATAACTAATTAGTTATTAAATATACCTTTTAAAATTTTTTAAAAATATTTAATTATGATATTGATTTAATAATTATTATAAAATTATTTTTTATATTAATAATATATATAATATAAATAATAATATTAATAGAATACATCATTATTTTATTCTTAAATATTTAGTAGTTTATCATTTTGGATTTGGTACTAAAAACTAATATAGTTATGTATACATTTATGATTGTTATATTAGTAATTTATATATAAAAATTTAAATATATATAATATATGTTAAATGCATATTAAATGGGTATCAATTTTTTTATATTTTTTAAACATGCAAGTATTTTTTATATTAATAATTATATATAATATTTAAATTTAACATATTAAATACATATTATTCTTTGTAACTTTTTATAATAAGATTAAAAAAGAGTTTTTTATTAAAAAAAATTTTAGAAGGATATATATACACTTAATTGTTAATAACAAGTAACAACCAAATGTATGATCATAGATAAAGCAAAGTAAATCCAAATCATATAAATATATAATAATATATTATAATGATAATAAATAACATTTATAATGATAAAAAATTATATGATCATCTTAATAATATAAATTATAATATGCGATTATTTTAAATTATAAGAGTTAAAACAATAAATTATATATTTCAAATTAAAAATAATACATATTCTAAATAATATAGACAATGATAAAAATTAAATAATTTATTCTATATTACATGATACAATATTATTAAAATGTAACTTATAAATTATTGTTATTTTTTGAGTACTTTGAAGCTAATAAATTGGTATGCCTTAAATTTGATATGATATTTGATAATATACATCTATTATCTATTTGTGTATATCAATGTTATCAATATTACTCATATTAACCGTATTGAATCGTATGTAACATATATAATAAATGTGTTATGTTTATATTTAAGATTTAAATACATTGCATAATTTATGTTATGTTCATATTTTAATAATTTATGTAATTACATTTGTCATACATAACACAAAGCATGATACAAAAACACAAAACCCAGATTTCCAAGTCTATGCAACAAACAGTCCCCAACAAACTAAACAATAACAGATAAAATTATTATAAGAAAAATATAGATAGTTAATTGTTTCTCACGTCAAATTTGTTGGGCTGTTAAACCTCGGACTGCAATACTTTAGTTAAAATTACATCAGCTTTTATTTTCAAAGCTATTTTCCGTTGTCATAAACTAACAAAACTAAATGCATCACCATGACCTTTTCAATTGAACTTTGGGTTAAATTATTCACCAATGGCCATATATGCTCTCTTTTGGATTCATGCACTTTGGTTTGGCCGATCCATCGCCTTCAAGCAAGAAAAATAAAGAAAAAAAAGAAAGAAAGAAAAGAAAAGCTAATAAAACATTAATTTAGACCAAGAACGAGGATAGATCATTAGAGAACTCCTCTTACAAGAGTCTTAAACCATTTTTTTATATATAACTTTACATATATAACAATATATTTGTTGATTTACATATGCAGCTTAATTAATTAAAGCAAGTTGAATGAAGGGAACAAAAATATGATCATGTTATTATCCAATTGAAATCACTGCAACTGGTATAAAACAAAATTTGTTAAGCTCATCTGAGTGCAAAAGCTCTCACCTCTAGCTGGATTAGTGAAGAATGAAACAGTGTACTTTTTTTTTTTCTTTTTTGGTTAGGTGAAAATTAATTAAGTTTCAGAAAATGACCCCTCACTAAATGATTAAAAAACCCATTAAGACAATCTTGATAATCCGGAAAACAAGATTTAAAAATCTGTAATTGAACCAACCAATATTTTAAAAGATCAAAATTAACTCTCAGGTGTCCTTCTCAACAGAAGTAAAAATAACTTGCAGTTATGTATCACTAGGGATAAAAACCAAAACCAATTTAAGCTTGTTCTGACATAAATTAGAAAGCGAAATTAAACCTTGCTAAAAAATGAACTACATGCCCTAAAAAGTTCATTTCTCTTATTTTAAATAGACCATACGAATGACACCTATATAAATAAGCAAAACTTCTAGTCAAACAGTTGTTTTCTTATTAAAGCGAAGTTACCAACTCGTCTTATCTTCCATTCCGATTTTTGGCTGCCATTTTTATTTCCATAAAAGGTGATTTTTCGTTTTACACTAACACATGCTCTTGGCCTTGCAACACCCGTTAAACCAGCTTGTAAAAGCCTAGCTCAATCTACTGCAGGAGAATGAAGTATTATTTTAAATCTCCAGAATTATATGTGAATATTAAAATATTAATGGATCATATTACGTATTTGTTTTGACAATTATAATTAATAAGTGGAAACAATATCAAATCTTAAAAAAGCTAGATCTTTATCTTCACTTTTTTTTTACTGGCAGCTCTCAATGGATAGATTCCATTACTTAGAAGCGAATAGAGGACCTTAGAATAATATTATTAAAACCTTATAAACCTCCCATCAAAGGTTTATAAGGTCAAAGGTTTATATAATTGCCAAACCATACTGACCCAATAAGATATGCAAAGCCCATAGCTAAGTCATTACAATTAATTATTTGAGCTCTCATGCTTATCTCATATTAGAACTAAATTTATCAATATGTTTTATTAAATTATGAAATCACTAATTAATAGTAGCCCACTTATTGGAAAATTCTAACATTCTCCCACTTGAGTAACATTATTGGGTTGTTTGACTTTTAAAAAAACATAATTTAGAAAACAAAACTCCATGCTGATTAACTTTACTTTGATATGGCCACAGTTTTAAAAACAATTTAGCCCTTGGGACAATATCTTAATGATCCTATCTAATAAAACCATCTAATACCAAATTATGACAGCTATTATGCCTCTTATGACATAAGATCAATTCATGGTTACAAGTACCAGTAACTCTATCGACAATGGATCTCAGTGTGGCTATGTAACTAGAAAAATAACACTTAAGTGTGATCTCAATGTGTTATTTTTATTATTAGTCCTTTTATCGATTTCTATGAACTTGCTAAGAAATCTTCATAGCATCTAGATGCCTATATGTCTCCCCTTTATCCTTGAGGTTACTTGCTGGTATCATTTGTGAGACATACTCAAATGATATTAAAGTCATACTTAAGACAGATACCAAGTATTAAGATTTTATAATATGAAATGTCAATATAAGATGTGCACATGCAATCATATAAACATATATACAAATAAAAACTATGATGTATATATAAAACAATTGTGTCCACTTAGTTTGATAGTATCTCATGGACTTATTCCTCTCAAACTATATCTTATAGGTAATTAGCACTCACATATGATACATTTAACAAAGTAAAGAAACCTAAAACAATAATGATTTCAAAAGCAAATTTACAATGCATCATTACCATAATCAACTAATACCTTAACAGGTTCTATTTTTCATATCTATAAATATCCATATTATGAGTTTGTACTGCCATAATCCTTATGCAAAGAATATATGTCATTATTTTATCAAATCACAATAACTCCCAATAATACAGTGAATCACAAACATATTCCAATCAAACTTTGAATAATAATAATAAGCATTTCAATAAATGGAATCATAAAAATATATATATGTATTATCTACCTTTATGCCAAATGTGATAACCACTATTGTTTTTAAATTGCATGATGTCATTTTAATAAACCTCTTACAAATTACTAATAATTTATAAATAAATTTTCATATTCATATGTTGATACAACACAAAATTCTCAATGTTTTAA